GCAGGGTTTGGGGTATCAGATTCTATTGTTTCAGATAATGGCACCCAATTTACATCAAAAGAATTCAAGGAATTTTGTAATTTGTCCCTTACCACGTTAGATTTAACAGGCAGGCAGAATGTTGTGTGGATATCTTTAAGAGAGCTCTAAAAAAATCCAATGGTGGATCCACAGATGCAGCATTGCAACAATTTCTACAAAATATGCTTCGGCCATAACAAATTATGTTTGCACAGAAAATAAGATCAATTTTTGACAAGCTGATACCCAATAAGAAAAAACTTGAACATAAGGTACAAAAAGCTGGAAATAAATTTTATGAAGTTGGTCAAAAGTTTTTTTACGAGATGTATCAGATGGGTAAAAGATATTGCGAAGTTGGAACTATCATCTGAAAAATTGGTAGGATGGCATATTTAGTCAAAGGACCAGAAATGGTGCACAAAAGGCACTGTAATCAAATAAAAATTGGCATATAAATGAAGAGAACAATACTCCAGTGGAGTTGAGCCTATGGAAATTCTTTAACACATTTGATGTGCCCATTCTTCAGAAAGCTCCTGTGATAGAAATTCAAAAAAGGAAAAGAAAAATATATTGACTATGTGCAGAGTAAATCTAAAAAGGGCGGGTGTTATACCATACATATGGACTATAATGGGCATGTTCTAATCCTCATAAATACAGTGGAATATACTGTTTAGGTGGGGAGGATTCACTACTAGCAGCAGATTACTTGCTATATGCCATTGGCAAATCTTGTATGTTGTTAATGTTATAAAGATTACCATTCCATTTCCAACCTTTGTTTTGGTTATTCTTATTCAGTAACCTTTTTCTAGGTTACAACATCAACTTAAAACCACTTTTCCATGAATGAAATGTCATAAGCCTCTCACTGCCCTACCCCTATTTCCATGGTAATTTTTCAGATGAATTACATTCCTTAGTTCCACCAGTTCTAACCTTTACAGCTAAGACACGCCATGCCATGCACATTGTAGCAAATCACCCTTGTTCTCTTTGTATTTCGTTGGTAAGATGAAAGTTCCTCTTGGGCAGTTTCTTCCCACTGTCAGAGTTAACTTCTCCTTCAGTTCGTAACCCTTTCACCAGGGGTCTCTCTTCCCTGGCTATAAATAGCCGCTGACCCTTCACCTCTTTCTCTCTCAGGCCTTCGCGTCGACACCTGAAGGTAAATCTCTTTTTCCTCAGGCTTTCAGCTTACAACCTCGAAATGTAGGCGCTAACAAGGGATAGCGTTTCCCAAAAATGCTGGGAACACGCTAAGCACAATACACACACACACACACATACAGCCATGGTCCACTACATAATGGTGACCAACCGACGTGATTTTTCAACTCCTGCTAAAAACACACAAGACGATATATATGTACAAACAATTTCTTATACACACACCTTCCCAAAAAGAGAGCCAGATAGGGAAAACATTGAAAAAACTTCTTTTCATATCCTACGCACGCCTTACACTATTCATGAAAGAACTACAATTACTACTATTCAAGACGAACCTTAGAAATCTTTCCCCACTGGTCTATATTTGCTTGACCCTTTCTTTCTCTCGGCGACGTTTGACCTAATTTCACCCGGCAGACATGCTTAAGGCTGTACCAAATGGAAAACACGATGCCATTTTCTACTAACACTATTTTCTTCTGGACTGAAATGGAAAAGTGTGAACCAAATCACAAGACGACTCACTGTCTTATTTTCAAGCAACATTTGTGATTCCGACATGGAAGCAACACTCAACTGGAATAAACTCAAAAAGCACCCGCATACATTTTTTTTTACACCACGTGACGATATCTTCACGCCACTGCTTGCTTCTCAAACTTCTCAAACACACGTGGACATTCTATTCAACATGACTTCAGCCGACTACACATCCACTCACATTGTGCTAAACACCGCACATATTTCAGATGTCCAATGAAGTCTTAAAAGGCAATTCACCGTCCTTCATCTCATTCTGCAATGACACGACTCAAACAAACCGAGAATTTGCCAGAACGATATTCTATCGTCAATAATACCAAATTCTATCAAACATACATTCAACACTCGGTAGAAATTCAGCTCAACTTCACAACTACGCTGCTTCTGTTAACTTTTGTGAGCCAATTATATCCCCGCATACCACACAAACCACCTTGTTTTTCAAACAAAACTACAACCAGGCCAGCAAACAGGTGGACGGGTCGACACAGCCAATTCAACGTGGAGCATGGAAAACAAAGACAAATTTTGATAGCAACGCAGACCACTACCAACATTTTTACAGGACGTGCTCCAACTCTGACTCACTAGAGAAACAACACTCCACCCTTAACGACAATACAAGCATATTTCATCGAATCACGCATCTCAAACACACTTCTGACACATTTTCTTTTCAGCTCACAAGGACAATATTCAAAACTTTCATGAACCTTTTTCTAACATATTAAAAGTTTTCATTTCCTTACAACTTTTAATCTCATGGGAGGTATTGTCGGAGTTAACTTCTCCTTTAGTTCGTTAACCCTTTCACAACCTCGTAATGTAGGCGCTAACAAGGGATAGCGTTTCCCAAAAATGCTGGGAACACACTAAGCACAATACACACACACATATATAATATTCACACACACACTTTGTCCTTTGTAACTGTTTTCATGTAACTTGTTATTAATATATATTTGTATAGATATATTATTGGTCTTGTGTTTTGTTTGTTTTCTTTGCATTCTTTGGACTTAATTAAAAGTCCAACTTTCTTGTGTAGTTGGACCAGCTAGCAGGAAAATCTGAACTCACACGTGTTCTTCTACGTCTACTCAACGACATAACAGCCACGGTCCACTACACCACAAACCACTACTTTGTGGAACCAACTCCCAACAGGATGCTTCCCCAATCACTACAATCTTAACCTGTTCATGTCCAGGGTTAACTGCTATCTTCAGCACATATCACCATAAACTGTGCCACTCACTCTGTAACTCACTACCTCTAATGGCTCTTGGGCCTTGTATAAAGTGAATGTCTTTGTAAAAAAACAACAACAAAAAAACACCTTGTTTAAAGATCTAAAAATTGTGTGAAAATATATCACAGAGTGGAAAATCCAAAATTGTCAATACTAAAAATAATAATAAAAAGAAATAAATACTTTATTATTTTCCAAGTTTTTTTATAAGCAGGTGTGTGTTTCGATTTTTTAAATTACTAATCAAAAGTTTAAAATGGAATTACCTTGCACTACACATGGGGACTAGGGGGCAAGTCAAAATTTAAAAAAATGAGCGTGTCTAGACTCTAAAGTAAGTATTTATTACACTACAGGTAAAATAAAAATAGAGAAAGTAGATGTAAAATACGGTGACAAAAATAAATAAACTCTATTGGAAACTGAAAATTAACAAATAATTACTATTGAAACAACGGGAAAACGTGTTTTTTTTTTTGTGTGAATAATATTTTTTAAAAATCCTGAAACATTTTGAGAAACAAAACCGTGTTTCATAACCGTGTTTTTTAAAATTTTCTGTTGCTATTAAAAAATTGACCCCCTGAAGAGAAGGACTCTTTCAGTTACGTAGTTTTTTTTTTTATTTAAATTTGAGTAGTGCATGTGTTTTTGGTATTGGATTGGTGGAGTTGTAGTAATGAAATATAAGAATATAGGGCTGCAAGTTTTCCTGGAATCTTTTTTCTGTGATATGAATGAAAAAGAAAATAACTGTCTTGTTGGCTTCACTGTAACTGAAAAAGTTTATTTACCCATTCATGGTGCAAAATGAGGACATAAAACAATAATTGAATTTATTCGAATGAACAAAAGCCGAAACTATTGAATAATCCTTTTTAAAGCTTGTTCTTTTTTGGTTGAAATCGTGTATTAAAAAAAAAGTCGGATCATTACGGAATTTTGTTAAATTAACTTTTTTTTTCTAATTAAGAAACAGGACGCAAGCAACTAGTAGTGCAACGGATAAGGCACTATTGCACTTTTCGCATCCCCTCCATATGATAAAAGTAAAAACATGAGATAAATTTATGAAATGAAAAGAAATTTATTTTTAAAACATTTTTTTAAAGTTTAACTTCATAAAATTAATTTAAAATAACAGTTGAACTGTTGCAATTATTAATTATATTGTTAAAAACACTAGCAATGGTTTTTAAAAGTTTAAATTTATCTCTGCTGTCAAAAGTTTCTAAAAGTCAGAAAAGGAAAGGAAATGTATTATTTAAAATTAAAATCCACAAATTATGAAACAAATATTAAAAAAGGGAAATCTATTCGTATTTGTTTGTTTTTTTTTTAAGACAAAAAAACATCGTATCATGGGGGTGCAAAAGTGTAATAGCGCCACGGATAAGATTTAAATGTATTTTTTTCTTTTTAATTCACATGGCAAAATTTTATAAAGACTTGACTTTTTACTTTAAATATTTTTGTAAGTCATTGCAATATCATTTTTCAGAAGTATAAAGTAGATGAAAATTCGTTAGTAAGGGAAAGGGAGAAAAACAAAATATGGAAAATAAAGACTGCTCTAAGAATTTTTTTAACACGGTTTCGGATCGGTTTATTTATTTTAATAATGGAAGGTGTTTCTGAGCATTATCAATACGACTGTTTTGATTGGGAGGGGATTTTTTAAGGAAAAGTTTAAGATTCTATGTTATTTAAGAAAAAAAAGAATATCATAAAGAAATTATTGCAGCGTTTTACATTAGAGACTCCCTCATTCTTTTATATATATATATATATATATATATATATATAAAATCAACAGACAGCATTATTTTTTTTATTTATAAAAATTCTATATACAAATAATGAGAGACCGTATAAAAAGTTTTTCTAAAATCACGTTTCGCTCGGCAGAGATAGGCACTTCAGACGGAAGAAATTCATGCTGGCTTGTTTTTAAATTGAATTAGAATTCATAATCAACAAATTCAAACCTGTATTTGGTACTTACCTTTTTCCTTTCGATGAGGTCCTTAGCAAAAGTTATGGCTTCATCTAGAGTAATTTTTCCTTCGGGAGGTATATTGTTAACTTGGTTGATATGTAAATGTGGATGATCACATTGCACAATACTGCTAGGACTTCTGATGTATATATAACAAAAGCCACTTGCAAGTAAGATACCGCTTCCAATCCTAAACAGAATATCTTTTTTAATACACCAAATCCTGCCAGAAAACCTCGAATTAAACCTACAAGGAACATCTAGGTATGCTCCAGAGATCATTTTGGATACATTGCCCCTACCAGAATTCAAGAATAATCTTGATAAACTCTGACTGGTAGAAAGGTAACGAATACAACTCGCCATTGCTGTTACGCTTTAAGTGCTTAGTAGGCGTACTATGTGACGATTAATGTAATAGAGAATGCAACACAAGTTCGAATCAAAATCAAGCTACACGATCTTTGAAACTTAAAAATATTTTAAATTTTAAAAGATTAGGTGTCATAAAGCAGAAGAAGCCTAATAAAGCGAAAGCGAAATATTCAATTCACTGATTTAGCATTTTTGGTTCGTTAAGAAATTTTTTGAAATGAGACAGTTTCTAAGTAAAGCAGGCTAAAACACCTGATAGAACCCATAGGGTAGGCCGTTTTTTTTTTTTTTTTTGGTAAATATTTGAATATGGGAGAAGGATAAAACAAAAACATTAAACTTAAACTTTTAAAGTCGACAAATTTTTATGACTCGTTGATTGGTAGGTAGATATCTATTTTTATTTTACGAGGCAGTGCCTAAGAAAATTTAGACATTATTGTCAACTCAGTGAGTAGTCTTTGAAAAACGGAACATCTAAGAGAGCGATGTTTTTTTTTTTTTTTCCATATTAAATTTATATTTTTCATTTTGCAACAAGATCACTAATGAAGAGTTTAAATTTTATAAAAAAGCAATAAGGCTTTGTCTATATAGACAAAAGAAAAAAAAAGCCTTCTTTATCGCTTTCTTTTTGGTTGGTATGTCCAAACAGACCAAAGGCCGCATTGAAGTCAGTTTTCTTATGCGTTTTTTTGTACTTTGTTTTTTTTCGTCATAAAGTCTTTATGAAAGGCAAAAAATCATAATGTTTTGACTTTTTTGTCTTCATTTCTTATGATTTCTGATCGTTTTGTTTAAATTTTTGTATCTCCTAGGCTAATTGATTTCATATTTTTTATGAAATATTTAGTTTTAAATCGACTGGGGAAAAAAGACTATTCAAAAAAAAATTAACGGTTAACGACACAAAGTTAAAAAGTAAAAACCACGCATTCGTCTTGCTGTTGCAGAATGGGTTTATTTTTCGGCGCGCCACGTCGCTACCGAATGTGACAAAAAGTCGATGGTTAACGTGTGTTTAGAGTAGACGGCAATAATACTGTGTAAAAAAAAAATGCCCAAGCTCCCTCAGCACTTTCTTTTCAGGCGCTAGACAATAAACTCACCCCCCGAAGAACGAATACTGCCTGGGTAGTGGGTGGAGAGTCCTCCTGTTGTTTTTAATTTTCGTCGTTTACCCGGACCGTTTCTTTATTATTTTTTTTTTTTGTATAAAAAAAAAAAAAAAAAAAAAATAGAATTCACTTTTTATGCTGTTAGTATAGCGAACGAAACCTGTTCAAGGTATTTTTTTTTTTTTATCCCAGATGCACATAAGTGGGAAATGCAGATTTACGATTTACATTAAGTGGGTACACACGTGTTTGAGTAGAAAAACAAAACACTGTAGGAGTACAGTAACTTGTAAACACCGTGTGGTCGTGTATAATTGTCGTTTACCGGCCTTGATTTTCGAGAATCTTTTTAGAAGCTATGTGCCTATCAAAAGGGTTCGAACCTGTGTCTACCTTAGGTACCTCCCAAAAAATAATGATCACTTTCGACACGTGAAATTTTAAAATATTTACAAAAAATTATCGGACAAAATTTAAAATTTCAACTTTTATTCATTAGTGAAACATTATTTTATTTTTAAAAGTTTTCTGGAAGGATTTTTTCAGGGCAGTTATACGCCACTCCGATTTAACTCGTGGCTGATTCTACTCATGAATTTTTTGGATGTTTCTACTTTTAGATTCTTGAAAATTCAGACGAGTAGAGTATTACGATCCCGTTTAAAAATAAATGTTTAAGGACAGGTCTACGCAAGCACATATATCTGATCCACTTAGTAATAAAAAGACTTTTTTATGAATAAAAAAAAAAAAACTATTTTAATTCCTTTTGTGAGTAGGTGTGTGTTAAAAAAAAAAAAATTTTTTACTTAAAAAAATATTTAGCACGGTAACATGTGAGAAAGGTTAAAAACAAAAACTTAAAAAACGCGCGAAAAATTAAAATGAAATACGAAACACCATTATTTAATTATTATATTGGTAAAAAATAAATTCAACCTTAAATCAATAGTTTAAGAAGAATATCCTCTTTAATTCTATATGCTTTTATTAAATTTTGAACAATATTTTTTTTAAGTTAAAATTATACTTTTCCGAATTTAATTCATTGCTTTTAATTTTTTTTATATTTGATGCCATAATAGTTGCAGGTGTGATTAAAAAAAAATAGAAATGAAATGAATTTATAACGGAGTTGCTATTATTATCCAAAAAATCAGTAAAGCTGGTTGATAAATAATTCAAATTGTCTTCTTCACTTTGAGCTTTCTTAATTATTCATTTGCATCCAAGTTATGCCTTTTTTTTATTTTGTCCGTAAAATTATATTCCTACACAACCAATACAATTTTTTTGAGACTATATAAGTCAAAGGGAAGAAACCACAATTATTTCCCTTTTCTACATCCATACAAAAATAATCTAACCCTTACTAAAAGGAAAATCTAAAATAATTTTTTTTTAAAAATGGTTTACAGTACACTCAAAAATGGCATTAAACTTTACATTTTTCACTTCTTCAAACACGTCTGAATTTTATTGAATTAGTTTTGGTGAAATACAGGACAAATTATCATCAGTAACTTCACACTTGATATTGCATAATTGTATTTTTTTTACAACATTTAATCTTCTGAAATTCTTTATAACTAAAAAAAAATTCACAAACACACTCGAAATTAAAAAGCACTCAAAAGATATAAAAATGGAGTTGGGGGTGTGTGAAACAGACTGCCCCCAAATAATATTTCTACAGTTATTCAGTGTAAAATCCATTCATTATTTAATAAGTATTAACATATTTGTTGGAGTCAGGTAACTCCCTGACATTTTTTGCTTTCATTTTTGAAAGAAAAAGAAATAAAAAAAAAAAAGCAGCTTCCATTTTGGTGGTAATGAGGTGTAAAAGTTTATCCAAACATTTTGTAAAATTCAAAGTCAGTTTTAATTTTTGTATTCTCCAATTTTTTTAATAAGATTTTGTACATCAGGGTCAAAATTGTGGATAACCTGTTTACAATTTGTTATATTTACAACAGAAGAGTACTCAATATTGTAGATAGAGCATTTAAATAGACAGATATCAATACTGCATAGTAACTCAGTGTAATTTTCAGACCAAGTGCCATTACTACTTTTAGCAGGTTTTCTGTAATATATATATATATATATATAAAAAGAGACAGCAGGTTGTGTAGGTCACTAGCGGCTTAGGGGAAATAGTTTAAGAAACCAGCCCTTCTCAGTGTCTTATGTTTAGCGCTGAGGGATATTTATAATTATATCTTCTAGGCATATAGGAAATTTGAATCTGAACATTCACCCACAAAATCTTTTACTACTTTCTCTATAATTTTGATGAAAATTTCAAAACGTTATTAAATTTAATTTTGCATGCCCACAAAAATGGAAAGTTGAAAAATTGGTTCTAAATGTATAAACTTAAGTGTTCATGAACATGATTTTTTCCTATATGATTAAGATGTATTCATGTCTTTTCTTAAGTTGCTAATCTGTATCATTTTTTTTTATTATAGTCTAATTTGGCTTATTGTAACCAGACTGAATTAAGGAACCCCTAAAAAGAAAGTAACTTAACAAAAGAGAATAGTGAGATAATGTGGTGTGGTCTGTATTAAAAAAATAGGAAAAAATGTTGAAAATGAAAACTCAGAATGAGTAGAAAACTAAGTTTATGAAATTGTTAAAGAAATTAAAATTGATGTTAAATAAAAAAAAAATGTGTATTGGCTGAAAATATAAAGTTGATACAAATATTTTAGTAAAATAATTAACTGATTAAAATTTAAATAAATCTAAACTAAACAGCAGGGCTATTTCCAGCAAGGAAATGATCTATTTTGTTGTATTTTTATTCAATAAATAAGTAATATTTTCAAGAAAACAAGTCCAATTCGATTGTTAGAATGACTTTATTGAAATAATAAATTTCTTATGGCAATTTCAGGACGAACAAATTTTGAATTGTCTTACTCTTGGGAAATGTGTGGTGAACTGGTTTCCTGTTGCTTTTTCTTCACACCTTCAGAGATGTCTTTCTCCTTGATTTGTTGTCAACGAAAAACACTATTTTACTCATAACTGGAGAGAGGAAGTGAATTCATGCGTTTTCCAAGTTCATTAACGGGAAATGAACCCAATATAGTCAGAATTTAAAGGTAGGACACCTATTCCATTTTCCGCAGCGTTAACCATTAAGCCATCCGTATATCCGTAAAAAATAAAATGCAAAATTATTTTTTATTTATTAAGCGTATATGAATTTAAAAAATAAAATAAAATAGCTTTAAGCTATTATTTAAAAATAATTCCCAATGAGCTTTAATTGTCGGACGAAATTAAAAAATACTTTAAAAATGTGAAACTACTTCGTCGGGTTGTACTGAGCATGCTCTTTGTTTGGCACTTAGTATACGCACCCTGGGCAAGCAAAAAGGAAGTGTAATTTTAAGTTCCTAAATTACAAGGAGTAACATCAAATTTAAGCGCAAAAGGAGAATAGTTTCACCTCTTTTTTTCAATACATTTTTCTTTTGTTGCAGTTTGAACGAGAAGGAGAATTCAGTGTCATAAAAACAAAACCCGTAACGGCGTCACTAAAAAAGCTCATCATACAAAAATTTAATAAATGGATATCTTTAAGATTTGGACATCGTTGTTTCTATTGATTGAATCTCGCATAATTGTTTGGGGTAATAATGAAGTAAACACTGAAACCCTAAATGCTACAATTACTTCGTTAGTTGTCACCAGTGATATTAAGTACAGATATGCTACTACAAAGTTTTCTACGAGTTACATAAACCCACATTCATTACCTATCACTGCTACTTTCTATGTCAACCTACCAAACAGAGCATACATTTCTAACTTCACGATGAATATAAATGGGATTGTTACAGTGGGACAAGTAAAAGAAAAAGAAGAAGCAGAATGTATCTATGAAGCAACTGTTAGCAGTGGTCAAAGTGCAGGAATTGTTAAACATAGATTTACTAACGTTTTCGATATTTATGTCAACATTGAACCGAATGCTACAGCAGTATTTGATCTTATCTATCAAGAACTTCTGCAACGTATCCAAGGTAAATATTCTCATGTAATATATCTTACAAACCAAGAAGTGATTAGTAACTTTTTAGTCGAAGTGTTTATTAAAGAACCGCAAGAGATTATCGATTTGGTCGTACCTCAGATACGATCGGACTTATTAGTTGCAAACGAAAATGAAATCAAAGTTTTGGAAACGGCTTCTGTAGAATATATCAGTAATAAAGAAATTTATATCAAGTACGAACCGACAATACAAGAACAGAAAAAAATTAACGAAAATGGAATTACAGGTTTGTTTAAAGTTTTGTACGATGTCAACCGAAGTTCTAATCCAAATATGGTTTATGCTATAGATGGTTATTTTGTACACTTTTTTGCTCCGGATTCATATAAAAACATGGCTAAAAATATTGTTTTTATGCTAGACATTAGTGGCTCTATGTCTGGTCATAAATTGAAACAGTTAAAACAGGCAATGGTCAGTATTCTAAATTCCTTACAACCAAATGACGATTCTTTTTTCCTTGGTTTCTTTAGCGACGATATTTCGTGGCTGAATGAAGAAAATGTACTATGGCCAGCTTCAAAAACGTATATTTCATACGCTATAAATTATGTACAAGAACTTAAAACAGAAGGCTCAACAAATATTTATGATGCACTCATGCAAAGTGTTTCAAAACTCAATAGCCTTGAATCTAAAAAAAAGAAAAATTTGATTTTTTTCCTTACAGACGGACAGGCAACGTCGGGCATAACAGATACGAAATTGATACGAAAAGCTGTTAGAACAGATAATAAAGACATTTCTTTGATTGCGTTAGGTTTCGGAGAGGACTGTGACTTTAAGTTCTTAAAACTTCTTGCATCTGAAAATGGAGGGTTCAGCCGTAAAATTTACTTTGCTGCCGATAGCCAATTACAAATAGCAAACCTCTACAAGGAAATCTCCAATATTCTATTGAAAGATATACAAATTACTTATCTGGATTCTGCTGTCAATACTCAAGAACTGACCAACACCTATTTTGACAACTACATTGATGGATCTGAGCTTGTTGTATCTGGGCCATTATCTAAAGATGTTGGTCCTGAAATAAAGGTTGTTATTCAGTTAATAAGTCGTTCAGGACCCCAAAATCAAACATTAAAACTTCGATTGGATAACGTTGATTTTGAAATTGTTAATTTGCCTGATGATCCAAACTTGACCTCTCTAATGTCTTTAAAGACAATCACTCGTAACACTTGGCTCTACCTCACTTTGAAGAAACTTCTATCTAAAGAAACTACTCCCGAAATTAAACGTAGAATAGTAACACTCGGCGTAAAATATGGATTCGTTACACCCTTGACATCAATGGTTGTGACAGATATCAATGCAGCACAGTGTAATAGTGATAAAAAAGAGACAGAGCATTTAAATGTCTTTATTTCGAAAAAGATGTCCGCCGATTTTGATTATGATTATGCTTATAGCTATAACTATAACACTAACAGTGGCTCTCGTTTATTTTCATTTGTTTTTTCCCTGGCTTTTATCTTTCCTGGTAAGTAAATAATTGTTATTCAATTCAGTTGTCACTATTACTTTTCAGCACAAAATTGAAAAAAAGCATCTGAAATTCATGACTTCAATTTTTTTAAAAACTTGAATTAGATTTTTATGATTAATTTTACACTAGCTTCTCTAAAAAGGAAATGCAAGTGTCAGTGTTGAAAACTAATTTTTCAGATGAACTGATGAAAAAACTAGAAACTATTTTTCAATTTTCTGTACACTACACAAGATGTGTAACAAGAAGTTATTTCTTTGTCTGGAATTTAGAAAGAACAAGTCAATCATTATTCCGAAAATACTGGTTTTCTCACCATTTGGTGTATGTATTTTTTTGTCACTCATCGAACCGTCATTGTATACGAAAAATGTAAACAAATTCAAAATTCTTCTTAAAATCCAATATTTGTACTAGAGATGTGCTTTGAAGTCTATTATTAGTAAATTTAAGGATTAATTAACAACTGGATTTTCTAAAAGTAATGCTTACCTTTTTACAGTATTTGAAACAGAATGAAAATAACGTTTTACTTACGCACACTGCCTTGTGAGGACTATAGAAATAGTCATTCGTTTACCGTCCGAAAAGCGCGGGAAAAAGTAAAAATAAAAAGTTTTTATTTTTACTTTTTTTTTTTTTTTAACATTCCTTCTTTCACTGTGACTTTTTGCAGGCTGATTGAAAGCTACATGGTTCGCGTCTTGAACGGAAAGTTTTTTGTCCTGGAAGCCAGTTCTGTTTGTGCCAATGTGGTTCCGTCAATGTCGAGGGATCAGCACTATGTGCTCTTGTGTCTGCTCGGTATTATGCGAATGGTAGTGTGGACGACTAGACAGGAGGAGTTTCACGCAGGTGATAAGTTTTCCTCTTTGCAACTGGTCTCTTTCTTTAGGCATCAGCTTAAGGTTAAGATCAGGGCAGAGAGGGTGCACCGCTCCTCGTTGAAATTCGGCAAAAGGTGGGTGAAAGTTTCATGTTTGGTGTAAGTGAGAGGTGCTGACCTGGAGTGGTTGTTGGATGCAACTTAGGTAAGAGGATTTTGGGCCTCAAACCGAAACATCAGTCATCCCAGCCCTTTTAAGGTAAAATAGAACATTTTCATTTTCAGTTTTGGCCTCTTCAGGGCTAAATATTTTCCTTTCAACATAGCTAGAGCATGCAAGTACATAAGTCCTGTCCTTTTTGTCCCCCTTTTTAGTTTCTTGTCTCCACCCCACCCCCTTTTTTAGGTGACAGATGTCTCTGTTCTCTGGATTTGTTCAACCCAGTTAATTGAGATTTCTGCCACATTTTTGGGAAGGGTCCTACTACTAATATTGTTTTGTTTAGTTTCTTGTACAAACATTTTTCATTGTATATAAACATTGGGTTTTTGATTTTTTTTTTTTTTTTTTTTTTTTTTCCCATATACAATTATCAAATTGTGTAAATAAAAATTTATGTTAGGGCTTTTCATAGAGAAAATGTGGTATTTTGGTGATTGTGGTGTGACAGCCAAGAGTAAATGCGTTATGATGAAAGGAAAATTGTAAGTACGAATGGGTCAACAAATGAGAATAGTTAGTTTTGAGATAGGACTAGAGAAGACCAGTCTTTTCCCCACCCCCCATTTTTTAGCCCTTGTGGCACATTTTGTACCTATTATGGTGAATAAATATTAAGATTAGCAGTGCGATAATCAAGAATTTTCATTTAGTTTAAAACTGAATTTTCTTTAACCGCATATAAACAGTTTAAGAATATTTTTTATTCTATTATGACTTTATTAAACTTTAATGGACAATTTTATTTTTATCGATTAAAAATGGGAGATAAAGTTAGATTAATAACACTCCGATATTGAATAGTAGTCGGTCAACTCGAGATATCAGAATTCTTTCCTTTTTGTAAATAAATCTATACCAAAAAACAGTTGCTAAAAGAAATAATTAAAATATTTTTTTTTTTTTTTTAAAAAAAAAAGTTCACACTCAAAAATGTCATTTAAACTCAACAGTCATGTCTTTAGTTTAAAATAAAAGAAACTCTTTGTGACGAACAGTAACAGAATTAATTTCAAAATTGTATAGAAAAATTACAAGTAATTAAAAAAAAAACAAATTAAATTTAGATTTTTTACCGCTGTCGAATCAAAAAAAAAAAAAAAAAGAGATAGAATGCTAATAGGCAATTAAAAGGATTAGATTGTCTGCCAGAAGAGGATTTTCATCAAACAGAAAGCAAGCAAGTGCAAGGTATTGTACAGCTTAGAAAAATCAGAAGCCTATTTCTTAAGAACTGTTGCATACCATAAAGTCCTCATGCACTGTGAGGATCCGGATTAGAGATGATAGCGGAAACTGTGTATATCAAACAATAGACTCAGTTCTAATTGGAAAGTCAAGCAAAGATATATCAGATCAGTAAAGGGGCACCTCGGGGCAGTGTAATGGTTAGCAAGCTTGTCTCGCTAGAACAATTACGAGAGAATAGTGGGTTCGATCCTCACTGGGTTCCCCATACTTTTGGCCGTGTGCCACATCTAAGCTACGCTTGGAAAATCACTATCAGATCAGTAAAGAAAAAGTATAATTTGAAGAGAATTTGTAAGCAAAGCATTCTGGTTTATCAGATGTTAATACTTCAAATTAAGTGAAGAGAAGGGACATAGAAGGCATATTCTTATTAACATACTATTAGAGAGCTACCAAACAGGTTTAAGCTCTTTGAGGACATATTTACAATTATTATATACAGACAAAAAAAGCAACTGCTGTGATTGGAACTATCATGCTGGTAGAGCCAGAAAAAATATCTGTAGCATATAATGGCTGAACAAAAACCAAAAAAAAAAACAAAATTCAGTGGCACAAGTAAAAAAAGTTTGTTGATCAGAATTATTAGGGAAATAGAAACAAGTAGTAAAATTCACTTTGGCCAAGAGATTGAGCAACAGAAATAAATAAAAATCTGAATACCGGCAACATCAGTAACATTAGAATGATTAATCTGTCTATATTTTCTGAGATGAGGTATTATGTACTCACACTCTTTGGGTCCTGTCACTGGATCTAACCAATGCCTTTATCCACTGTGCCATGTGTCCTTGAGGACCCAAAGAGTGTGAGTTCAATACTCAGTTAAGGCAGTGGAGAACTTTCAGAGGGAAATTAACAGGAGATAAGTGATAACTGACATCCATCAAACATGGCACGTGGAACTAGAACAGTCTACCCCAGTGAGCGAAATAAAGGGTTCAGTTTGACATTCCAACCACCTGAAGAAGGTCGGAGCGTACATCGGCTGAAACGTTGTGATAAATATGGCGACAAAGATGAGGACAATAGTCCGAATAATGTAAATAATGTAGAATGATTAAGCCACTTAAAATGATAAG